TGTATGCGCAGATTAATGCCACCAAAGAGTTTCGTCATGGGGATAATGATTGATTATTTCGTGATTCCGGGCACGTCATAGTAAAGTCTCGTAATGCATATTTTATCACAAGAGGTGGCGGTGTACTTCTCCTGCTGGATGGCGTTCCTGTCTAAGTATCTTCCACCAAGGCACCACCGCCCGAGCCTAAGTCAAGCCTTCCGACATGTGTGGTAGGATAGTGCATGTAAGAGGAAAGAAAGATCGCGGTCTGTTTGTTATATGTATTACTCCTGCATTCGCCTGATGTTGATCGGAGAAACCACGGAAAACTACCGATCAGAGCAGCCAGCAGCTAGAATCGACCTAGCTATGTAGGTAATGTCGAAAGTCCTACCCGTTCTACCACCGCCGTGGCTCGAACCCTAGGACATCCCGACCACAGGCACTGCAGTGACATCAGCTGCCCTGAACGACCTCGGCCGGTCATGGGACCTAAGTTGCCAGCACACACTGCCGCCACAGAAACGAACTCCCTACAGCGGGACCACGTGGCTAGTGTGCGACAAAAGCCACGCGATTACACTCGTTTATATTCTGGAGTAGCGTTTTCTGCTATCATTTTAGAGCGATAGTGTTGGCGCTTACGTAGATGTTAAAAAGTGGGTTAATAGCGTATACCTTAAGGTGCTTCACGCTGTACGAAAACTCTAATGAATTCGTGGCTGCGGGAGTCGCCGCAATCATTCCAACGTGACCGTCGTCACACTGTGACATTCTTCAAGACTTTCCCCCAGAAGATCGCAGTTTGACATTCAAAACAAGCACAAGAAATTTAAAGAAAAAATGTGGGTACTTTGAAAACTTTCAGGGGCTTCATGTACAGTGCCCCCCAAAATTAAAGAAAGTTATTCAAAGTCGCAGAGCTTCGAGTGAGGCCAGACTAACCAGGGAGTTTTCAGTTTTGAAACAATCCTACTCAAAGTAGGCGCTAGTGTTGTTCACCGATGAACGGACGAACGTTTTTAAGAACACTTTTTTCGATATCAACGACTCACTATTCATTAAACTTGACTACATAACGTGTTAGGAGTAATTTACTACATATTGAAACAGGATTTATAGACTTTTTCTGTATCAGCGCCCCACGATTCGAGTTTTTCTGTCGAAAAATTGTCGTTTTACTTCCTCGCTACAGAGAAGAGAGAAAGATATATAATGCTGCGCGAAAAAACTGCGAATTTTGGGCACAAAAAGTCTTCATTATAGGGCTCTGGTAAAGAAAGAGTGGATAAATCCAGTTGCTAAATGTAGAAAAACGATTTCTCTTAACACGTGGTGAAGCCACAATCTGTTTCGTGGGTCCTTGATACCGAAAAATCGAATTACGGCATAACGTAAGTATGTCCATCTGTGAACACCGCTAGCGCCTGCAATATTCAGCCAATTTTCCCCAAAATTGACATTCTCCGATCGGTCTGGCTGGTGTCACGGCCCCTTGATTTTGAAACCGATATTTTAATGTTGAGAGATACTTAGCATGAAGGGTAGGGCATTTTCCATAGTTTCAAACAATTGCTGCATCGTTTTTTTTATTTTTTTGTTAGATAGTGTCGAGAACATTTAAAAGAATGACGATCACGTTCTTTCAAAACCGTAATTTTTCGAAAATTCCAAACGTTCAATTTTTTTTAGTGTTCCCACAATTAAAATATTAAAGTTAGAGATGTTTTCCTTTAATGAAATTTATAGATAGGTTTTAAAAAAGGTTATATACAATTTTTCGTAAATCGGAGTACTTTTCATGTCATTTTGCCTGAAAGTACGGGCGAGAAAGTACGTGCTGTTCTAGTATCACTAGTTTTGCTGCAGCATTACAGAACTTCCTTTATTATAAGTACACTACTCCATATATACGTAGGTGTGCAGGCAAGTGAAAAGCCAGTGTGCGCAGGGTGCGCGGCGCTGCTGGCCACGTGCGCGCTGCTGGGGCTGGGCCGCGACGGCGCCTCGGGACGGGCGGCGCTGCCTGCGACGCGCCAGCTGCCGGCGCCCCCCGCCGCCGACGCGCGCCTCGCCTGCGCCCCCGGACCCGCCCCCGCGCCCGCCCCCGCCCTCGCCCAGCTGCGCGCCGAGCTGCGCCTCATGCGCTCCGAGCTGCGCCGCGTCAGGGTAAGCACTACGCTTCCATTTTTTCTGAAGTGGCCGATGGCGTTCGGTCGTTGTTAAATGAAGCCTTTCCATTCATTCGCGAACGCCCTTCTCGATGGGGATCAAATTTACTTACTACTGTTTAAAAGATTCCTTCCCTGCTTGGACTTCAGATCCGGCGGCGTCTTGTAATTTGGCTTTCAGGGTTTCCTCATCCAGGTATCTCCTCACCGGAGCACTGCTCCAGCAGAGACAAGCTCGAAGCTCCCGAAATACGTGGTAGGGTAGTGCACGTGTTTGTGCGCGATGTGACAACATAAGATCACATGCGCAACTTGCCCTGTTAGTTAGGGTACTGCTCCGGCATTCAACTGGTGTTGATGTGGGAAACCGTAGAAAGCTACCGATGTGGACAGCCCCCGGTAGAATTCTCCACCTAAGAATAGTCCCGACTCCTTAGTTAGCGAAAACCTGCCACCGTCGGGGCTACAACCCCAGGCCCTCCCGGTCAGCGATGCTGAAGAGGCATTACTCGTTCTTGTACATTTGCAGACGGCAGAATAAGGAACTAATGTTTATTTGAAAGTGAGGACTATGAGTAGTGACTATGTCTGCATCTGAGCAATGCTAATACCAGTTGAGGCAGGTTGTTTTGTTTTTATCATTTCTCTGATGTCTAAGGAACAATCGAAACCACTTTGGTATGCGATAGTGCGTTCTGTCAGTAAATTAATTGCAAATAATGTAGTGAACTATTGCCGCGAGGAAAAGAAATGCGGTTTATTAATACCATTAAATAACCTGTGGCCAGAGCTTTAGTACAATACCCTTTATCATCGGCAATACACTCTATTCACAAAAGGCACGGAATTTTTTTTTTCCTTCGCACATATATCTGTTATACAATAGTTATGTTCTTAACGGCTTCTGCTCTCCCATACCCTGCAATGATCGGGCCTCTATGCCGCACGCATCATATCTAATCGATGTGCGATTCTCATTCAGTCGGCGCGGTGATCGCAAGCAAACAGATCGCAGCGCTCCGTCTGCAAATGTAAAATGAAGGAGTAACGACGGTGTTGCATCAGAGAGTAACGAGCGGTTCCGCAACTCGCGAGTACAGGAACGCGCGGCGGAGGCGGCGGCGGCGGCGGCGGCGGCGGCGCTGAGCGCGCGCCAGGAGCACCGGTTG